ATTTGACCACTGGGGATTGTTCACCTGGTGAAGAGGTACATCTTACAGCAATTTCGAGTAAAATGGCTGGTCAAATCATAGGCGACATGAACACCAATGGGCAACCAGTCGCAGGTGACGACTGCGCCACTAGGAGCAATTGCTCGTTGGATGAGGAGATCCACTTGACCAACATATCCACCAATTTAGCTCAGGAACACAGTGAGAAGGAGATTCAAATGAGTTTCCTAAATTCTACAATCAATCCACAAACTGAACTGGATGAACTCAATTGCAGAACTGAAGCACAACAGCAGGCGACCTTGTACCAAACTCAGGCATGGCCTAATGACCAAAAACAAGATCACAATGCTACAGGGAAACAAAAAATAGTGATGGAATCTGAACAAGTATCTACGCCACTATACCAAGACCAAAATGATCAGCAGGACAATACAAATTCTGCTAACTTGGAAGTCATTGAAGTGGAGAGTTCATCACACTTCTCTTTTGGAGTGAAACCAATGGACACAATTCCCAGCAATGGAGAACAGCAAAAACCAGGTATGACTCCTAAGTATAATAATGAACTTGATCATGACTATATGCAGAAACAACAGCAAACAGACTCCACTTCATTAAGCAAAAATCCAAGTGTGGCGAGCACTCAGGCAGGTAAGTCCTCTCCTATAACTCCAATAGAAATGTTGTTAATTTGAGTAGTAGTGATGTCCATGTGAATGACTTTGCAAATGGACAAAAGAATGTTATGAGAAATGAGCAGGAAAATCGCATGGGAGTCACTGAAGCACATCAGCAAGTTAGTCGAAATCATAATAGTGGGCGAGACAAAAATTTATCAGAACCACCTGCTCAAAGAGGGAATGCTGAACCAAATAACTATCATAAGGACTTTCCTAAACTTTCTAGCAATTTTGATAGACAGACCAGTCCCAATCAGCAGAGTCAGCAACTAAATCAATCTGACCAACCCAAAGAGCCCAGCAATCCTAACGAGAACCATAACTCCAAATAGAATCAGAGTATATAACCTGCTCCTTACACTGTCGTGCAGACTCTAGCTGCTAGGCTCAGGCAAATTCATGCTACACAAATTTCTTCTATAGAACTAGTTCCTCCCAGGCATACTACTAAACAGGGCCAACCTGCTGTGATCTTCGATATGGATGACTTCATGAATAAACTAGTTGTGGACTGTAAATATACACTTATAGGTAAATTCAGTACCACTATGCCAAAGATAGAATTAATCAGGAAGAGTTTTATTCTACAAACTCAGCTGAATGGGGGGGTCAATATTGCTCACTATAATTCTAGGCATGTTTTCATTGACTTGGAAAATGAATTGGACTACAATACTGTATGGACACAACAAAGAATGACCATCGAGGGCAAACTCATGAGAATACAAGCCTGGTCCCCCAATTTTAGACCAGAAGAAGAAACACCTATTGTTCCTATATGGGTACTTCTACCAGGCCTGCCATGGCACTGCTTCAAGAAAGAATTCATCACTCCTCTGCTAGAGTCTGTGGGAAAAGTCTTATATTTATATACAGCCTCCATTAAAAGAACTAGAGCTAGTATGGCCAAGGTAAAGGTCCAAATAGACCTCACCAAGGATAGACCTCGACATGTTTGGATTGATTTGGATGATGAAGATCTCACTATAGGGAGATGGCAACCAATTGAGTATATAAATATCCCTCCTTACTGTGCATACTGCAAACACCAAGGTCACATGATAGGGGACTGTAATTTCAAAATAAAGGATGAAGACTTCAAAAGAAGGAAAGAATTAGGAGCAGAAATGAAAAACATAAATAAAGGTGACCAAGAGAAACAAGGAAAAGATCACAGACAAGTCAGGCCAAGGGAACAAGAGGAACAACAACACCAAAACATTAAGAAATGGAGCAACCAGCAACCATCTGAGCAGCAAAAGGAAAAAGAATGGCAAGTATCTAGAAGAAGAAATCATAAACCACAGGAGGAGAAAACACAGAAGACAGTGTGGAGGCCAACCTCACCACAGAACAAAGTGCCAAAAGAGTACCCACTACTCACAGCTCAACAAACAGGTATAAGCAATAACTCTAACTATAACCCTTTTACTAACCTTAATATGCAGGGGAAACAGGTTGCATACATTCAGGAGCAGAACAACAAAGAAAGGATAACAACACAGGGAGCACAAAACAGGTCTAAAATAAACCATAACCAAATATCACAAATCAAGCAAACAGGAAAACAACCAAATGCCAAGAGCACAGGTATTGACTCAATGCTCCCAACTCCCGTAGACCCCAATAATTCTTACTTTAATGGTACTGCTGAAGTTGAAGGAGGGATGGATGGGGGATGTCAGGAGAGCCACACTAACCTGCAGAAAGGGGGGTCCAAATGGGGGAATTTGACTCATGTTCTGCGTGAGGGTAAACACCTTGACCATAGTCCAGACCTTAGAACTCCTGCTATCACTGCAATCCAACATCCTAATCCAGTCCAGCAGAAAGTACAGCAGGAAGAACAAGCAGAAGCAGGAAAGCAATGTGATACTGGAATAATTAGGGAAAAACAGCATGGCCCAGTCAAACTTGCAGGTAAACATAATGAATGCTCCATGGCAAAGGATATGGGGGCTCATGCAAGTACTAGTAACCAAGGGAACACTCCCACAAGAAAGAACAAGCCTAGCAAGAAAAAGAGAGAAGCTGCAAAAAAGAGACAGAACTTACAACAACAAAATAATGATCAACAGGAGAAACGACCTAAGGAAGGGGAAGCCTGTAAGAACTTTATTATGGTTGATGACCAACTGGGCATGGATATCACCCCTTTGCAAACACAATATATGAAGCCTCCTATTAATATTCCCCCAGATAAAAGGCCTGAATATTGTCAAGTGAATAAGGGCCTCTAATTGATGAATATGTTGTTGACAACTCTGAGGATGAACTGGATGTAGATAATCAATCCCTCAAGGATCATGATGAGGAAGACGAGACCAGTGAGCTACTGATCAGAACCTTCAGTCCTCATCCGGACAAGAGTTTTGCAGATGAAGTTCATCAGGTGGCTAATAAACAAGGCTTATCTCCTAGAGGCATACATCATGATAAATTCCAATACAAAAATCCGGATATTAACACTGTCACTGCTGGCAGACCAAACACCACATTATTTACTTCCAGATCATCCCAATGATTAGTACAATTATTTGGAATGTGAGGGGGATCAACACCCAAGGTGTTATTGAAAGACTCAAAATGCTCAAGAAGATTCATTAACTCTCTATTATTGCCATCCTCGAACCTTTCTTAGACAATACTCACATTCAAGATTTTAAATACCAATTAACTATGGAACATGCTATGAGTAATAGCAATGGCAAAATCTGGCTTTTTTGGGACAGGGACATTGATTGTGTAATTCTGGAGGAGGATGAGCAACAAATCACTTGTGACATAGGCCATAATGAGCTTCAGACTCATTTCAACATTACATTTGTGTATGCCAAATGTAAAGATCATCTTAGAAGCCCTTTATGGGACAAAATGTTATTTCACACTGCTGAATCCAACAAACCTTGGTGCTCTGTGGGTGACTATAATGTTATTACTTCTATTGAAGAAAAGCTGGGTGGAGTTCCTTACAATATGAGAAAAAGTTTAGAATTCATAGCTACTATTAAAGCTTGTGGTCTTCTGGATTTAGGCTTCAATAGACAGAAATATACTTGGTCCAATAACAAAGGTATATCTAAGAGAGTTTGGAAATGACTGGATAGAGCTCTAGTTACTGATGCTTGGCTGGAAAAAATGCCTCAGACTACCATCACTCACTTACCATTTGTAGGGTCAGATCACTGCCCTCTACTGATGGAAATGATTGTAAGGGAGGAAGAGCATATCAAATACTTCAAGTTCCTTAATTGTTGGGCTGATCAACCTAAATTCCTTGACACAGTAAAGGCATGCTGGGAAAGGACTGTAGAGGGCAATAACATGTGGAGATTTCACCAAAAATTGAAAAGGTTGTCAAACACCCTCAGTCACTGGTCCAGAAAGGAATTTGGGGACATCTTCACTAAAGTCAGAGAGTATGAGGAAAAGGTCAGAACTGCTGAGGAGAACTTAATTCAAGAGCACAGTGATACCAATAGATCTACACTCCATGGACTCAATGCAGAGTACATCAGATTCTTGAAGATGGAAGATTCCTTTTTGAAACAGAAGAGTCAACTACAGTGGTTCAAGGAGGGTGATAGTAACACAAAATATTTCCACTCTCTGATAAGGGGATGAAGAAGAAAGTTATTCATTCATAAGCTTAACAGGGGTGATGGGGATTGGATACATGGAGATGATACTATTGCTGAAGCTGCCTGTGAACATTTTCAAGAAATATTTACAGGGGAATACAAACTAATCAATGAGGGGGCATTGGAATGTATCCCTAGGATAGTCACTCAACAACAGAATAATAGTCTGACTATCATGCCTAATCTGGAAGAATTGAAGAAAGTGGTCTTTTCTATGAATCCTAACTCTGCAGCTGGTCCGGATGGGATGAATGGATATTTTTTTCAAAAATGTTGGAATATTATTAAGCATGACCTCCTCGATGTCATCCATGCATTCTTTTGTGGTCAAATGATTCCCAAGTATCTGTCTCACTCTTGCATTGTTCTCCTCCCTAAGGTGAACAATCCCAATAAACTCACAGAATTTAAGCCTATCAGTCTTAGCAATTTCACTAGCAAGATCATATCTAAAATAGTGAGCTCTAGACTTAATCCTATTCTACCTAATTTGGTATCTCTCAACCAATCTGGATTTGTCAAAGGGAGAAGCATATCTGAAAACATTATGCTGGCATAAGAGATCATTCACCAGATTAAGAGACCAAATATTGGGAGCAATGTTATTATTAAATTAGACATGGCTAAAGCATATGATAGGGTCTCTTGGTCCTATATTTGTTTGGTGTTAAGAAGAATGGGGTTTGATGAGGTCTTTATTGATATGGTCTGGAGAATCATGGCTAACAATTGGTATTCCATTGTCGTCAATGGCAAAAGACATGGTTTCTTCCACTCCACTAGAGGTCTCAAACAAGGTGATCCACTATCCCCGACCCTATTTATTTTAGGCGCAGAGGTCCTGTCCAGATTCCTCAACAAACTCCACAGACATCCGGATTACTCTGGCTTTTACATGGAACCAAGGGGTCCCCAAGTGAACCACTTAAGCTTTGCTGATGATATTATACTATTCACTTCAGGGAGACAGAAAACTCTTAAGCTCATTATGCAAACCCTGAATAATTATGAAGAGATCTCAGGCCAACTTATTAACAGTGACAAAAGCCACTACATGGTCCATACTAGTGCTTTTAATAGCACTAGGGATAGGATCAAGAGGATCACAGGTTTCAAACAAAAAGAGGGCCCTCTTACTTATCTTGGTTGCCCTTTATTTGTTGGTAGACCAAGAATCATTTATTTTTCTGATCTTATTAACAAAGTGCTATGCAAAATTACAGGTTGGCAAACAAGATTGTTGAGCTATGGTGGTAGAGAAATATTAGTCAAACATGTTCTACAATCCCTACCTATTCACCTCTTATCAGCAGTGACCCCTCCTGTTACTGTCCTAAAACAGGTTCAAAGTATAATGGCTGACTTCTTCTGGGGATGGAAGAATGAGAGGAAAAAATATCATTGGGCTTCTTGGAAAAACTTAAGCTTTCCTTGTGGTGAAGGAGGTATTGGCATGAGAAATTTTAAAGATGTATGCAAGGCTTTCCAATACAAAAAATGGTGGTGCTTTAGATCCAAACAAACCCTTGGGGAGACTTTTTGAAGGCCATGTATTGTCAAAGATCCAATCCTATTAGCAAGAAATGGGACACAGGAGAATCCTTAACTTGGAAACATCTGATGCATAACAAACATAAGGTTGAAGATCACATTCTTTGGAAACTCAACTCAGGCAATTTCTCCTTTTGGTGGGACAATTGGCTTGGTGTTGGACCCCTTGCTGAATTCTCCTCGAACAGTAATAGACTCAACAACATCACTGTAGCAGAATTTTGGGTCGGGGGACAATGGAATCAGAATATGCTCACTCAACTAGCTCCTAGCAATTACCTCGCTGACATACTGTCCACGAGACTCTATATACAGCAAGCTATACCTGACCAAGCCATCTGGAAACTCAACAGCGATGGAAAGTTTACATGTTCTTCTGCGTAGAATGAGATCAGGGAGAAGAAGACCAAAACGATGTTCAATACATTCATTTGGCACAAGAGTATTCCTTTTAAAATTTCTTTTCTTTTGTGGAGAACTTTACGTGGTAAACTTCCTACTAACGAAAAACTGACCAGCTTTGGCAATGAGCCTGTAAATTTTTTTTGTTATTGTTACAGGACAGGGCTGGACACTATAGACCACATCTTCAATAATGGACACTTTGCTACCTATGTGTGGAAGAGCTTTGCTGCTGCTGCTGGAATTGTAACTGATCACAGATCCCTAATTCAGCTCATCTTGCAATGGTGGTCAGCTAAGTACAACAAGGAAGCACACAAGCTATTACTACAAGTTACACCAATATTCATTTGTTGGAATCTTTGGAAGAATCACTGTGCTAGCAAATATGGAGGCAAATCGTCCAATATTAGCAGAATCAAATATGCAATCTACAAGGACAACTACAAACTAATGTGCACACTTTTCCCTCAAATAAAATGGCCTTCAAACTGGAAGGAGCTGTTCCTGCTGGGCGAAAACTATCTTCATGACACCAAAGTGGTTCTCATCAAATGGATAAAACCTCCAGCTCGATGGGTTAAAATCAATACGGACGGCATTGCACTGAGCAACAAGGGTAGAATTGGAGCAGGTGGTATCTTAAGGGATCAAGAAGGAGAAATGTTATTAGCATTTGCTACAACTTTGGGGGAAGGCACTAACAATCAAGCTGAAATAGGGGCAGCCATATTTGGCATGACATGGGTTCTTCAACTAGGCTACAAGAAGGTTTTTTTGGAGGTGGATTCGCAGCTACTAGTGGAGTAGATCACGCTGAAAATCAGGCCTCGATGGACCATTATCACAAAACTACAGCAGCTCCAAGAACTCATCAGACAAACCCAAAATTTTAGATGCACACACACCTACAGGGAAGCCAACTATGTGGCTGATGCTCTATCTAAGCAAAGCCACAAAATGACAAGTCCCCAAATATATTGCAACAGTCAACAACTACCACAGGAAGCAAGAGCATATTATCAATTAGACATGATAGAGATGGTCAACTTCAGAAGAAAGAAAATCAAGCGAATCAAAGAACCACCTTGAGATGGTTCATATCTTTTCAACTTAGCTATGGTTTAAAAGCATAGCTCCTTTGAATAGGTATAGGTTATTTTGATATTGTAAGGGGAGAGTCTCCCTTATTTAAAATTTCCTAGATACTTTGTAAAGAGATGAGTCCTCTCTTAGGTGCCTAGTATCTTGGTTTACCTTTACTTGTAAGGGGAAGAGTTGACTAACCTTAGGTAGGTCGACTCTGAACCACCATAGGATAGGAGGTCAGGTTTATGCCCCACTCTATGTAATTTTGTTTTTTAATTAATGCTAAGGCCTGGGGGTGTTGCTCAGCCCCTACCCCTCCAACGGTATTAAAAAAAAAAACACTAAACCCTAAAACCTAAACCGTAAATCCTAAACCTTAAACCCTTAACCAAAAACCCTAAACCTACAACCCCAAACTCTAAACCCTAAAACCTAAACCCTAAACTCTAAACCCTAAACCTGAAACCCTAAACCTGCAAAAACAAGCCTAGTAAGAAAAAGAGAGAAACTACCAAGAGAAAAAAGGCTGAACAACAACACCAAAAACAAACTCCAAACGACAATCACCAGGAAGGTTTAAACTCTTGTAAAAAATTCATCATGGTGGAGCAAGTAATGGATGTAGTTCCTCTAAATGCTCAATACAACACCCCTACTCCTGGAAAAACGCCTGATCAGGCCAAGATAGTTGTAAGAGATGAGTATGATGTGGAAAATTCTGAAGATGAAATAGATGAAGATACTCTACCTGTAAATGCTTAAGATGATGATGATGAGGTTAGTGAGCTACTAATCAAAGCTTTTAGCCCTGACAATGACACAGAATTAGACAAGGAGCTGCAACAGTTCACTAACAAACAAGGACTCTCTCCCAGAGGCATACACTTGTAAAGGCTTCCTCTCAAAAAACCATCCCCACCGATTCCTGTAACTGCAGGAAGACCAAACACTAGACTCTTCACCTCTAAATCATCTTAATGATTAGTACAATCACATGGAATGCTAGAGGAATCAATGCCCAAGGTGTTATAGAAAAACACAAAAAATCTCAAAAATATTCATCAGGTGTCGATGATTGCAATTTTGGAACCATTCTCAGACAATGCCCATATAAACATGTTTAAAAGTATGCTTGCCATGGATCATGCAGTTAGTAACACCAATGGAAAATTTTGGTTGTTTTGGATTAATGATATTACTTGTAATGTGGTAGAAGTTGATGAACAACAAATCTCTTGTGAACTCACCCACACAGAAGCTCGAGATACCTACATCAAGACTTTTGTGTATGCCAAATGCAAAGACTATCTCCGAAAACCTCTTTGGGATAGGTTACTGCTGATACTAGAGATACCATTCCTTGGTGCACAATGGGAGATTTTAATGTTATAACTAATACTGATGAAAAACTGGGTGGTATCCCTTATAACATGAGAAAAAGCTTAGAATTCATTGGAGTTATTGAAGCTTGTGGACTCATGGACTTGGGGTTTAATGGACCTAGATTCACCTGATCTAATCAAAGGGGTATTAATTTCAGAATCTGGAAAAGGTTGGACAGGGCTATGGTTAATGATAGATGGTTGAAGGATATGCCGCATACTAGCATTACACATCTCCCTTCTGTGGGGTCTGATCATTGTCCTCTTCTGATGGAAATGAATGCCAAGCCTGAAAATAATGATAAATATTTCAGATTTCTTAATTGTTGGGCTGATCAACCTTTCTTTACCAAGTCTATTACAAATTGCTGGAACAGGCCTATAGAAGGAAATCCCATGTGGACCTTCCATCAGAAAATGAAGAGACTTGCCTCAACTCTTAGTGTCTAGTCTAAAATGCAATTTGGAGACATCTATGCTAAGGTCAAAGACTTTGAGGCACGAGTCAAGGAGGCAGAAGACAATCTCATTCACAACAACACAGAGGAACAGAGAGCAGAACTTCATGGTATTAATGCAGAATATATCAGATTCATGAAGATAGAGGACTCTATTCTTAAACAAAAAACTCAGTTGCAATGGTTTCGAGAAGGGGATAGTAACTCAAAGTACTTTCATGCATTGATTAGAGAAAGAAGGAGGAGGTTGTTTATTCACAAAATCCTCAGTGACAATGATGACTGGGTACGAGGTGATGAACGCATTGCTCAAGCTGCCTGTGAACACTTTCAGAATATCTTCACAGGAGAGGAAAAAATTATTGATGAAATTCCCATTAACTGCATTCCAGGAATGGTCAATCAGGAGCACAATTCTAAGATGAAGGAGCTACCAACTATGGAGGAGCTAAAGGAGGTAGTCTACTCCATGAATCCTAATTCAGCTGCAGGACCTCATGGAATGAATGGTTGTTTTTTCCAGAAATGTTGGAGTATTATCAAAAAGGATTTGCTGGCAGTTATTCATACCTTTTTCTGTGGCCAAATGCTTCCCAAATATTTCTCACATGCTTTCTTAGTCCTTCTTCCCAAAGTGAAAAATCCCAATAAACTAACTGAGTTTAGACCCATCAGCCTGAGTAATTTCCCCAACAAGATTATTTCTAAGTTATTATGTCTCAGATTGGCACCTATTTTACCTAGCCTGATTTCCCCTAATCAATTCGGTTTTGTTAAGGGTAGGAGCATTTCAGAGAACATTATGTTAGCTCAAGAAATTATCCACCAGTTCAAAAAACCTAATATTGGAAGCAATGTAGTAATCAAACTTCATATGGCAAAAGCCTATGACAGGGTTTCTTGGTCATATATTTGACTGGTCCTCCGAAATATGGGTTTTGATGAAGTCTTCATACATATGGTTTGGAGAATTATTGCAAACAATTGGTACTCTATCATTATTAATGGCAAGAGACATGACTTCTTCCATTCCACTAGAGGCCTTAAGCAGGGTGATCCCTTAGCCCCAGCCCTATTTATTTTAGGTGCTGAGCTACTGTCTAGGTCCTTGAATAGACTCTACCATAACCCCCTATACCATGGTTTCCTTACGGAAAGGAGGGGTCCTCAGATTAATCATCTGAGCTTTGCAGATGACATCATTATATTCACCTCTGGGAGGAAACATTCTCTTAAGCTCATTATGCATACCTTGGCTACTTATGAGAGGATATCTGGCCAGCTCATCCACAAAGAAAAAAGTCACTTCATGGTTCACTCCAATGCCTTCAGAACCACATGTGACAGGATAAAAATATATACGGGATTTTATTAGAAAGAAGCTCCTCTCACTTACCTAGGGTGCCCTTTATCTGTTGGCAAGCCTAGGATAATCTACTTCTGGGAGCTCATCAACAAGGTAGTGAACAGAATTACAGGATGGCAATCCAAAATATTGAGTTATAGGGGCAAAGTAACTTTGATTAAGCATGTGTTACAATCACTCCCTATTCACATTCTCGCAGCTACTTCCACACCTTCAACTATTATGAAGCAAATCCAAGGTATTATGGCTGACTTTTTTTGGGGGTGGAGGAATGACAAGAAAAAAATACCATTGGTCCTCCTGGAAAAACTTAGGTTTTCCCTATGATGAAGGGGGAATTGGAGTTCGACTCATGAGTGATATGATGTGTGTCAAGCATTCCAATTGAAGCAATGGTGGACATTTAGATCCAAGCAAACACTTAGGGGGGAATTTCCAAGGGCAAAGTATTGTCAAAGATCCAATCCTATAAGTAAAAAGTGGGACACAGGAGAATCCCAAGCTTGGAGGTTGATGATGAAGAACAAACATACCGTGGAGAGTCACATTCAATGGAAAATCAGAAATGGTTCTTGTTCTTTTTGGTGGGATAACTGGTTAGGTGTAGGCCCCTTGGCTCAATACACCACTGATAGCAACAGGTTCAACAATTAGTCAGTCTTTGAATTTATAGAGGATGGTCAGTGGAACATGAATAAGGTGATCCAGACAGCCCCTCCAAGTCACCGTACACAACATTCTTTCTACTCAGCTACACTTGCAACATGGACAACCTGATCTTGGAGTGTGGACTCCCAATACCAATGGTCTCTTCTCTGTTTCATCTGCGTGGAATAGTATTAGAGAAAAAGGGAGAAAACGAAGATCAACACCTATAGTTGGCAAAAAAATATCCCTTTCAAATGTTCCTCTTTGCTTTGGAGACCAATCAGGGGAAAACTCCCTACCAATGAGAAGCTTTCAAGCTTTGGAATTGAACCAAGTGAATGTCATTGCTGCCATTCTCCAGGTACAGATACCATTGAGCATATTTTTAATTCAGGGAATTTTGCCAAGACTGTTTGGAATTTTTTTAAAGTTTCGTTAGGCATTCAAATTGATTACTTGCCTCTAAGAAGCATGATCATGAGGTGGTGGAGTTCTCATAACAACGAAGCACACAAGCTTATCCTACAATCTACTCCAATCTTTATTTGTTGGAATTTATGGGAAAATAGGTGCGCTAAAAAGTATGAGGGTAAACAGTCCAACATTGCAGGGGTCAAGCATATAGTGATTTTAGACACAAGCATACAATTTTCCCTTATATATCCTGGCCATTGGGATGGAGCAAGCTATGTACACTCCTTGAGAAGTGTACCCACGACATCAAGGTGACTGCTGTCCAGTGGATCAAACCTCCAAACAGATGGGCTAAACTAAACACTAATGGGAGTGCTTTGAACACTCCGGGCAGCATAGGAGTAGGGGGTATTCTCAGGAACCATTTTGGGGATATTATCTTTGCCTTTTCAG